CCCCCCCCCCCCCCCCTCCAGGATATCTGATGATACACCCCTAATTACAGTGCATGGAAAATTTTACCTCTCAATTGAAGCTCGATCAGACATCCTTACAGCTTCATCAAACTTTTCTATGATAATCTTTTTTATTTTTCCTTCAGCTTCGTGCAGCAATGTGAAGGCATTCTTGAGATCAGATCCTAAGAGCACAAAGAGATGACACACATTATACTGATTCAGTTACTGACATTACATCCTGTAACCCCATAATTAGCATGCACGCTCAGATACGTTGCATAAAAATTTGGGGTCGAAGAATCATCTGCATTATATAGAATCATATATATCAAATAGTACCCTGTGAGCAGAGCCTTATTTTCATTTCTTCGGCGAGGGGGAAAGGAGAAAATAAGGCTCTGCTTGCAGGGTAATAAAATAGCTCTTATATGGTCACAGAGGGTTGTATGACAGCTATACAACACAATATTTCTACCCACCTTCCAAGTCATCACCGTCTTCAACTGTTTTACGCAAAGTGTTCTCATCCAGTGTTAAATAACGATGAATGTGTCCTGCAGCCTGTTCATATTCTTCATTTTTCAATGCATCTTGCACACCATCAACACAAGACTAAACAAGAAATTGTTTCAAAGTCTAGAAGAGTACGGTACCCTATATAAATGCCAACTAACATTCAGGTAATCTGACCAATTATCAAGATTGCCGGGAGACCCGAGTTAAATCCTTGGTCGAACCTCTGCTCAGGCCTAATAAAAATAATAGTTGCATGGTTTCAGGTTTCACAGCTATGTTTAATTATATGGGTAGGTATAAGGTCAGAAAAACATTCTATTTTAAAAAAATGTTTTATCTCAAGTATGGAATAAATGTATGTATGATCAAATGTGCCCTGCAAGCTACATGTGTTTCACGAAAAACAAACAAATCAAGGCGTTTTCGTCTTTTTTCAGCCGTAGCTGCCACATTTTTTATATTTTATTCAACTGTTCTTTGTGTAAAACCATGATTAACATGACTAGATAATGATTAAATTATAAGCAAACAAAATAATTTGTAGACAAACGAGTCTGCATTATGACTATTTATATATTCTGCTATTTATGAAAAGATGATCTCTACTGCGAAATGTCAATAAAATGTTTATGGTCGGTCATATTTTTGACAGGTCGGTCAGAAACCTGAAACTAACTATTATTTTTATTTGGCCTCAAAGTGCTAGACCTAAACATTGACATCAATAAATGGTTATAGACTTGCATGTCTTCTCAGATAAAGACAATAAATCATAGGTACTCCAGATCCAGGCACAGATTTTCTGGGGGTGCAGGGGGTTGCAAACCCCCCCCCCCAGAAATAATTTGCACTCCCCCCCAGAGACATTTGGCACTGCCCCCAAAAGTTTTTGCACCCCCGCAAATTATATATATTTTGATTTGATAGTTTCATATTTGATTATTCTTACTACTAAAATTGTAAAATTATCAATATTATGGTCTCAGATCTCGCCATGCAGGCCTAGAAAACAAATTTTGTTAAACTTTTTCCTTGGCCTTTCCGGGCGTTGCCACCAGTCCCTGGCCAAAGCAAGCAGCAGCACCCCTCAGATACTTATCCACCCCCCCTGAACAAAAATATGAAATCCGTCTCTGTCCAGATCCCCTTTCAATTGGCCAATAGCCTGTAGGGAAATCTGCTGACCAATGAATGAGAAACTCGATAAACAATAAACCAATATTATAGTACCTTTAGGTCCAGGATATCGCCCGTTCTGTTAATGGCTGCTTGAACTCTGCTCTATACATCATATAGCAAACCATGAAAAGAAAAAAATAGAGCAAGTCAACCTTCAAAACATATACAACTGTAACCCATTAATGTACAAGACTCTCTTTTTTTATCAGCTAGTAAAAACATCTGGCATCAAACAGAGTAAAATAATAAAGTAGGAGGCAAGGCACAGTTTTAGAAAAAGTGTGCCCATTCTCATGTACAATAGAATTCTGACCAGTACAAGCCCTTTACCCTCAGAGATTTAGCTGGCCTTAGAGTTATGAATTTCAGGGGGGGGGGGGGCAAAGCTTTCATGTGGTTAAAAAAGTGACAAATACAATGAAAGGGCTGGGAGAGGGGGTTTCTTGGCAACCACTACAATTTTAGGGTGGTGCATCATTTGGGAAATTTTTGAAGTGTTCGACAGAACTATATACCTTAGCAAGGTCTAACTTGCGGACTTTGCTGCTCACATTCTCCGCAAGTTCTGCCGTATGTTCAATCATCTGATGAAGTTTCTCCGCATCTCGCAACACAACTTGCAAATTGGGACTAAACACAGAACATTGTTTTTATCACAGTTTTTATTGTTTGTGCCTTTCACTTTTGAGGCTATAGAATTACATTCCAGTAATATGCGCTTGTCTGATTGGATGCCGGTATAAGTAAATTTTGCCTCATTTGCATCAGAGAAGAGTAGGGGTGCACCGGAACTCGGTTCTGGCCGGTTAGTTCCGGCCGGAACCCCGATTTTTTAGAGTTTCGGTTCCGGCCGGAACTAGTAAAAAAAGCATGGCCGGAACCGGAACTCTGTCGTTTTCAGGGAAATAGAATATCAAACGTTTTTGTGTCTAACAAAAGGTCGCAGTAGGAAGAAAGTTGGACTACGCAAGGGAAATGTACACTATTAACACTTCATTATGACGTTTAACGTTTGTCAGTCTTTTTATTCTGACATTTGCGAACTCTCTACTTGATGATTTGAAGTGTCTGCTTGTCTGGCAGCGGACAAAGTAACATATGACTATATATGGCTTAATAAATTAGTTCTGGTTCCGGCCGGAACTCCCGGTTCCGGCCGGAACTTAAAAAACCGGTTCCGGTGCATCCCTAGAGAAGAACATTATGTTCAGTTTGACTTGACCAAACACAGCTGGATTACTTACTGCATTTTCCTCCTGTAGTAACATTGGATCAATAAGAGATAACCCTTATTGAACCTCTGGGGCTGGTTGTTAAAAGGTGGGTTAGCGCTAACCCTGGGTTAAAATTTAACTTGCTGTTTTAGTTTGTATACTTCTGCACGTCTGTTTATTTCAAAACTCCAGAGAAGTAAACTCCTATCGATCCAGACAAGATCTCTGAAGAAATATTTCCAAATTTATAGACAAGCTGTCAGGAAGTTTGCTTTGAATTTTAGGTTAACCTAGGGTTAAGATAACTCAGCTTTGAACAACCGACCCCAGGGAAGAGCAGTTTAGAACTGATAGAACTATCCAGTATAAAATATGAAATACATACACAACTTTCTGAAGTGAATTCATTTTTGTGTCAAGTTTTTGCTGCCCATCAAGTAAAGCGTCCAACTCTCGATCGAGTTGCTCCTAAAAAATTATGGCCAAATATATTGCATAATGGCACAGAATAGCAACCTTACATAAGGTTGACTTCTTGGTTTTGCCTATGATTTTTGGCGTAACTGTTGCAATGCTGTCGCCATGGTCCAAGCTAGTGTGCTTATGAGAGGCATTCACCCCCTGAATTTATTAAAAATGGTGGACTTTCAGGGGGGTGAATGCCTCTCATAACCACGCTAGCTACGAACATGGTGACAGCATTTTGATGACGAATCATGGCGACACAATTTTCAGTGGGCAAACTTACCAGTGTGTAATGAGTGACTGAACGACACAGAGAAGTTAGAGAACTGTAGGATTTTCAAAACAATGAAAAGACAATGGAACATCCCAGTCACTGGCATGGATTGTGACTGGTTGGCATCATTGTTACGGAATAAAGTGTTATGCAAAGGGTGTCTGAGACTGTTCTTTGCAACAAAAAATACATTTATTATAAGTTTACAAATAGAAATTTGCAGACTGTTCATTGTTGGTTGCAACCGACGGTACATTTATGTACAAATATTATTTTGTTTTAAATCTCACTTTCAAATTTCTCCACACCATGCTAAATATAAATACTACCTATTTCTCACCTCATGTTGTTGGATCAATGAATAGACTCTTTCTATATCTTCGATTTCTGTCAAATTATTTATATCCACCTCGGCTGCCATGTTGGCGAGTGACCGAGTCATAGAATAAGAAATAACCGAGTGCCGAACTGAAGAAGACTGGCACTAGAAGAAAATTTTACTTTCTGGGAAATTTTTTTGAAAAGGGAATTTTTGGAGAAAAAAAAATTCTAAGAAAATCCCTGAACAATGCCTAGACCATCGTCGTAGATAGCCCATCGTTTGCAGTCGCCCGAGCATTCACTGATGAACATCATGTGAGCAGAGACAACATTTGAACCACTGAGATTTGAACACTGCTGGTGTTCATCGTTAGATGTAAACGACGGTAAATAATGAATTTTTGAAATTCTATTTTGTGGTTGTGGAAACACCAAACACGTGTGGCTTTTTTACTCAACAACATGGCGACCGACAAAGGAGCGACGACTAAAGAGATGAATTTGAGTTCAACGACTTTATTTGTGCGGAATTTACCTTTTGTGTATGATAACAAAGAATTAGAGAAAGTTTTTAGCGAAGTGGGACCTGTGAAAAGATGTTTTGTTGTGAAAGATAAAGGTACACTCCCGAGGAAATGGTCAAATGGCTTATTGCATTTTTTATCCGTACACCCCCTGTTGAGGACACACTGCATAAATTCTCCTACCCCCCGGATTTCCAAGTAATTTTTTGTCAGAAGCCCTGGAAAAATGTGGTTTGTAGAAGGGGGTGCCTGGAATTCCAATTGTGTTTAATCAATGACCCTTGGAAATTCATTTTTTTTCCGCATGACTCTGGAATTCCACTGTCAGTAAGTTGATCTCCCCTGGAATTCCACTGTCAATAAGTTGATCTCCCCTGGAATTTCCAGTTCCGGTATCATTATTTTATCCCCTTTCCCAGAATTTCCATGTAAATCTTATTATTTTGACCCCCACCCACTGGAATTCCAGGGTTATTTCGACCCCCACCCACTGGAATTCCAGGTTGGTTTGACCCCCACCCACTGGAATTCCAGGGTTAAATACAAGAGGCATCCCCTGGATTTCCAAGGTCCTCAACAGGGGGTGTACGGATAAAAAATGCAATATGCCAATGGCGGAATACAGAAAGGCAGAAAGCTATTTTATATAATATTTTGCACTGAGTCTGAGTTTTATTAAATTAAGCAGCGGCTGCAAACGAGGTAGAAATAGCTTCACGCTCATGGGAAAATACACATGCAGGATCATTTAAAGTATACAATATTACAATCCCCAATAAGACAGCGTCACAGCGCTTATATTATAGAACTGCCTCTTTTTATATACATTTCTTTTGTTTTTGTACTGGGATTAGTGGGATAGCTGAAAACCCTCCCTACCACCTTCGGATGTCCTAATATACTTACTATTATAGATCAGAAAAAACTTTTCTTTGTCTCTGAACCACAGAAATTTCCTCCTTGAGGCCAGGGTGTATAATTTTTTTCTGGAACAACCCAATTAGCCTTTTTCACACTACCATTTTTGGGTGGGTTAGCACTATTTCCCATCCAGCAAACCACCCTATCGATTTTCTAAAGTCGGTTTTTTTAAATTTTTTTTATTAATTTGGTTAGGGTTATAGGGTTAGGGGTTAGAGAAGGGGTAGGGTTTGGTTTAGTTACATAGCCATTTAACACCTCTTCTATCTTCCAAAAATGACGTCAGGTCAGTTTGCTGGATGGAAAATAGTGCTAACCTTTTGGGTGGCTTTTCAGCCAAAGTCTGCAAGATAAATCCACATATCAGCGACTTTTGATAATTTTTTTGGACAATTGATGGTAATTATTCATTGAGCGTTCTCTGACTTCATATTTATTTCTACGAGCTTTTGGCTATCAGTCTATAGCCTTTGATGGGTGTATTTGTATACACCCGTCGAAGGCTATAGACTGATAGCCGAAAGCTCGTAGAAATAAATATTAAGTCAGAGAACGCTCAATAAATAATGTTTCAACCTGGCTACGCATCTTCTATTTTTTCAATTGATGGTAAATGTGCTTTGTAAATGGTTAGTTTATTTTGAATGGTAAATTTGCTTTGTAAATTGGTTAGTTTATTTTGAAAAATTGCTTTTCACATTGTTTAACTATTTGCATTGGTTAACGAGAATTAGATGCCACCCAAAAATGGTGGATATTTGTTATTGTGAGAGAGGCTAATTTGTCCTTCCACTCTCAAAGAACAGGCAAACAGATTAAGATTTAGATAATCTCATTCTGATCAGAACTATTCAGTTGTTATGTCTCCAATCTTTTTCACAGCTAACCCTATCAAATGTAGAGGATTTGGTTACGTCACATTTGCCCTGAACGAGGATGCAATCCAGGCGCAACAAAAGATACGTCAAATCAATGGCAGAAAGTTATTCATTACATTCTCCAATAAAAAACCAAGACACATTCAGAGAGGTCATCCTGAAAAGAAGAATGATGAAGCTAAAGGCAGTATGATAGTTTGGTTTATTCAACTACTGTTATTGACAGCCTTGTTATCGACAGCTTTCGCACAAAATTTTCACAGCTGTCACTGAGGTGTTATAATATGTAATATTGTCAACAGAAATTATGAGTCCAAACTTGAGAATAATTTACCCCTACCAAACACTAGATCACGCTAATCTATATCTGAACAGCACTGCATTGAAATCACATGACTACAGATTCTATTTCTGCCAATGGTTGGCCAATGCAATATATCGATATTTTTGAAATAGATATCAATGAAAATAGCAAAGATACACAACAGTTACTGATATCTCATTATATATGTAATTATTAACTGTGATGTAATTGAGTAAATGATGTCACATGGTTACAAAAAAAAATATCTCAAGAACTATAAGCATGGGAACAAAAATCTTCAGAAGAAGTTACTTCACAGATTACAGTTTTAAGAGTATTTAAGAAAATAAAAATTTTAATGACAGTGCCACTTCAACATTTTTTTCTCCACAGGTGATAACGAAGACAACAAAAACATCGAAAATACCCCAATGGAAACATCCTCTTCCACTACGTTCCAACAGGCTGACAAACCAAAACACAAACCCAAATCAAAACGAAGTTCTGCAATGAGTGATGATGGCCGAACAGTAGTTCTAACCGGCTTTTCTTCAACGTTTAAAATAAAACAACTTAAAAAAGCCTGTAAAAAGAATGGGGAAATCGAACAGTTCATTTTCCCCGTCGAAATGGACTCACAACCGACTGCACATGCCATTTATAAATTGCACAAAGACGCCAGAAAGGCAGCGAATAATCTGAACGGGAAAACAGTAAAAGGCGAAGTGTTAAATGCAGTTTTGCGGTCGAAAAAGGACAAAAATTTGTCGCAGAAATCGCTTAAGAAGAGTCGATTAATTGTTAGGAACCTGCCTTTCAACTGTAGCAAGGAGTTGCTAGCCAACAAATTCTCAAAATTTGGTGAAATTTCAGAAATTGTGCTACCCACAAAAACAGTTGGGAAAAACAAGAAAAAACTTGGATTCGCTTTCGTGCAGTTTCAGAACGTATTTGATGCGGCAAAAGCGTTGGAGAGCATGAATCAGAAAGAAATCAAAGGTCGACCTATAGCAGTGGATTGGACATTACCCAAAAAGAAATACGAGTTGCTGAAAGTTAGCGAAGAGGTGCCCAAAGGTAAAATCGCGAGATTTAGTCCGGCTTTTGACAAGGCAGCATTTCAAACCTTGACCCTTGTATCTCTCTGCCCTGCCTTGCAAGGCCGGATTTTGGTGGAAATAGTGGGGGAGGTGGTGCAGCGGTCTAGCTTACGAGCCCCATGGGAAGTTAGAGCTTAGAACGGGCTAAAGTCAACGAAGTGATGTTTGCATGTAGTGTACATATGGATCAGTGTATTAGTGAATTATGACTGTGCAACTCATCCAATTTTGTCCTTCATTACAATTACTACAAAGTTTCTTTCAAAACATTGCATTACATGTACTTGACACAGAGATGAATGTATAACACTGTTTCAATTTTACAGAAAACCCTAAGCAACCAAAAAGTCAAATTTTCAATTTGATCTATTATTGAAACTTTCCCAAGGGGAGATGCATGACTTTTCAGGGGAGGTGCAAAAATTATCGGGGGAAGTGCGCACCTGCACACACCTCCCCTCAAATTCCGGCCATGCTGCCTTGGAGTATTGGTGACAATGTTCATGTAGTTTTTACCTCTTGATAATTGATTAGAGTTTGATTTCTGCAATATGCCATGCGAGCGCTTCCAGTTTGACTCTACCAAACCGACCTCAGGTTTTCTCCTGTTTTTTTACTCGAACAACAATTTAGAACTGATATAAATAAAGTTAGCTGAAGTTAGGTTTCCTCCTACAGTAACACTGATAGTGAACAACTCTGACTGATATAAAGTTTATTCGTTCACTGCAACCAGGTATATCAATCATGTTTCGCTCGCTACTCTGACTGAACTTCTAGGAAGAACGTCTTAAAATTGATGGAGCTGTCCAGTCTAAACAATATAAAGTTTTCTGTTATAAAGATAGTTTACATTCATTTAATCTCTGTACTAGATGACGAAAACAAGCAGGATGATGACATATCAGAAAAATCTGAAGAAGAACCCAGTGACCAAGATGGTTCTGTGGATGGTAATGCTAATGATGGCGATGATGGTGATGATGGTGATAATGGTGAAGATTTTGATGATGGTGATGATGATGATGGTGGTAGTGAAGGTGATGGTGGTGATGATGATGGTGGTAGCGATGACGAAAGTCCGAAGAAGAAGAAACGAAAGCTTCGCGATGCACGGGAAGGCAAAACTATCTTCATTCGAAATCTGCCGTTCGATGCGAGCGAGGAAGAAATTTGTGGCATGTTTGAAAAGTTTGGTGAGATAGCTTACTGTAAGATTGTCGTAGACAGTGTTACTGAGCACAGCAGAGGAAGTGCGTTTGTGAAGTTTCAGGAGAAACAGAGTGCTGACGATTGTCTGAAGAAACATGGTGATGAGAATGATGGCAGTGAGGGTAAGAATAAAACATGTCTGTAGTGAACTTTTCTGTGTTGGTGTTATCAGGGACGCCAGAACTGGGGGCAGGAGGGGCAGCCGCCCCCATTGCCCTTTACCAGGAGGGGCAGGGGGGGGGCAAAAGTGTCCTTTCAATTTAAAGGATTGCCTCGGCGAAATAGCGAATTGTCAGAAATGTTAGTGCAATTCTTTTACGAATTTGCTTCAGAAAACGCAAGAAATGCAGTCATCGAGCTTCAAGAATAGCACAATCGCCTGGCGGAGAACCTCCTCACACCCCTATCATCCAATAAATAGAAAACATAATTAGGCGAAGTTCAACTCTCGATGTTTTGCAAACATCTCTTAGTATATATCAATTCAAAAGTGCCCTTTCACGAAAATCTGCCCCCCTTGCCTTCACATCGTTCCGGCGTCCCTGGGTGTTATGTTCTCAGGTGAATATGATGTTTGTGATGTTACTCTGAGTGTATATCCACAGTGGGCAAAAATATGCCTGGCCACGGTGGGAATCGAACCTACGACCTTTGGAATACTAGCCTAATGCTCTGCCAACTGAGCTACGCGGTCAGGTCGGTTCGAGCTCTATAAACTGTGGTTCGAGTGTGTGATATTTCGGAACTGAGTCTAGACCCTTCGATGTCAATGTAATCTAGTAATATGATTTTTTCTGTGTTGGTGTTGTGTACTCAGGTGAATATGATGTTTGTGATGTTACTCTGAGTGTATATCCACACTGGGCAGGCTTGAAAAATATGCCTGGCCACGGTGGGAATCGAACCTACGACCTTTGGAATACTAGCCCAATGCTCGTGGCCAGGCATATTTTTCAAGCTTGCCAAGTGTGGATATACACTCAGAGTAACATCACAAACATCATGTCTGTAGTGTATATTCGCTCTGCTAGCAGCCGGAGCATGCAGGTTTGGGACCACATAGCTTGCGATTTGCGACCGACAATATCGTATTTTACAACATTTCGCAACCAAACTTTGCAGTTTTACTAATTTTAGGACACTCTTTTGAGCTATAATGATAGATTTCGTCTTTCTTGTTTAGATAAAAAATTAGTCGATAGCTTGAATCATTCATTTTGCCAATAGGAAAGATAACTTGGGCCTTAACGACTTGATATTTGATCAATAAAATTTGGCCCAGGGATTTGAAAGACATTGTTCTAGCCAAAGTTTTGATCTTATTTATCAAACTCTTTGTAGAACTGATTATGCGTAAACGTCCACTCAGTGT